ATCAATTAAAAAGTCTCTTACCCTAATGGCCTCTGAGTGTGCTGGAGGCAGGTGAGAGCACACTGCAACAGAGACTGCTGGCACCTGGCAACCCTGCTGGGTTTTATAGTGTTCCCAGGTCCTAGTTCACGAAAGAGACAAAAATTTTGCGACCGATTCTAGGTGATTGTTTAGCACACGTGCAGAATGTTCCACGATCTCCAGAGGGAACGCAATGCAACCTGTGCAATGTGTTCCATCCTAGGATCTCCCAGCATGTGCACAACTTGCATCCTCGCCATTTCCAGCACCTGGTTCGAAAGTAGACGGTATAAAACGTGGTGGAAGGCAGGCGCCAGGCTTGCTTTCCACCTCTAAAAAAGAAGTCCAGCTTCTCCCCCTGAAGAAAAGACAGAGCCCTCTTCGGATGTACTGACTCACCTTTGTCCTGCACGTAAGTCACCTCCTGCCCAGGCAGAGAACTGGGGCTTCACTGCTTGAGGGGGTTCTTGTACCTATGGGAGGAGGAGTTGGGGAGGGGTTTTAGGAGTGTTTGGATTTTTTTTTTAGTTTGTCTGCCTTTTCCCGATCCAGATTAGAGAAAATGCCAGTGGTTGTGCACTGCCTCTAATCTGGAGGGAAAATAACTAAATATACAGGAGTTAATAAGCTAGTTAAAAAGAAAAAAAACCAAGAAAAAAAAAAAAACAGTAGCCAACCTGCACCTTTCACTTTCAGGCACATCTTATGCCATTTATGACACCCCACTCACCCCTTCCCTCCCCCGCCTCCCCTAACATTAGTTGTTTTAATGCTATCAGATTAAAAAGTGAAATGTCTCCCTTTTGGGTGGTCCCCCCTCAGATCTCAAACATGTATAAGCTCACTTGGTCTCACTCACTTGGGCAGTACAGAACGAACAATTCCAGGCAGGTCCCCAATGTTCAAGCGATATGACAACCCCAACAGAATGGTCATTGGATTCATTAGTAAGGAATAACCAATATATTTCTAGACACATGAGGTCTATGATGATAACCCTAAGAATATGTAAAGAAGTCGAAAGAGGGTACAAGTCAAATACTGAGATATTTGTAGCTTTAGCTACATAACTGCTCATCATCCCTCTTGGCCAACATATAGGAAAAACAACTTTCAAAAAGATCATAATATTATGCATGACAGTGTAACTAAGAGCCCACGATATCAAGCTTCAATAGGCATCAAAAGGAAAATAAACACCTCGATGGAATATTTTCCTCCCCATAAAATATGTTTTCAAAAATACATTATATTTTTTCATTTAATGAACAACATGAGATTTCCAGAATTCTATTAAAAAGTGTACGTCACTATTCTGTTTGTGATGATCACTAGTACAACACGTACAACATTACTTGGTTTATCATTTTTTGTTGTTATTTTATTAAGCTGGTATATCTTGTATGTCCAAGTACCTAGTATATAAAACCAAATGAGAAAAATAGATTCCAGGTTTAGATGTATTTGTCCCAAAGGTCCCAAAGGTTCTACCAGATCATTGTGTAGACTGTTGATTTACCTGTCTGTCACTGTAAGGTTTCATCAGATCAATACAATTTATTGGAAAATAATTTCCATAGTCTGAATCCACGCACAGTGTTGGAAACTCGTTACAAATTATATGACAGTCCTCGCCATTTGTTGTCAGACATATCAGTTATCAAACACTGGAACAATTCGGGTTTAAATCAGTAATTAATAGTTGACAGCAGGTTTGCCATGAACAAAACAGCCAGCACTCTACAAGGGTCTGGAATCCTGGAATTGTACAGGAGGATTAGTATAAGATGTTACAGCTATCTTGACAAGGAAGATAACTCGTGGCACGGATGCCAACACATGTACACCACCAATCTCTTTTCCATGAAAGTAAACTCTTACTACCAGTGATTGTTGGCGACAGATTCTTAGACACTGTGGCCAGTATCCCCATTCACTCCTCAACACCCCCTTCTTTTAAAACATCCATGCACTGTATGCAGTGACAAGGGAATTATTCGAGGCAAGATTACTCTCACAGTGATATTTGGTGAAGTGAAAATTCTACAATTCCCAGGAATTCAAAGTGAGTTTCAGAATTTAGGCCAAACAGCTGAATTTGAAAAAGTATCCAAATCAGTTCTGTTTTCGGTTTTGCAATTTTGACCTTACACATGAAATTCACATTGAATTCACTTTAAATTCTCACTTTAGTAAATAACCCTGTCTGATTGTTAGTGAGAGAGATAGAGTCTTAAAAGGTAAGTAGAGACGTGAGAAGCAGCAACCATTCTCCGGGTCCCCACACCAACATGTCACACTCCTGAGGGGGGGAGGCCGGAATCAAGAATTTCCCTAAATCTATCATAGAAACCCCTACAGAAAAAAAATCAATTCTCATTTCTACCAGATAAACTCCAGTAAGCAAACAGATCCTATCTCGCTCTCTTATCATGTAATGCACTTAATAAAAGGATTCATTAGTTACGTAAAGTCCCATAGTGTCAGTTATCTCAGAATCTCTCAGTAAGTCTGTCTATGTAGAGTGTAAGATTTCATTGCAACACAGTCACAGTGTTAAACGGGCATTCAAAACTGGCTTTCAAATATCACCAAGAATACACTTTATTGTATTCCTTGCTGTTCACACTTCTGTTTAACATTTTTCCACTGTACATCGATCAGGATTATTCTCTAACATGTGAATCGTAAGGTATTCAACGTCGCAACACAAACATGTATTACGGCCACTACAGTACCTGTTTAGGTGTCTCCCCCCCCATGCACTGAAGGTGAGTTTACTCACCCTTTCCTTTCCTGTGCCAGTGTTGCCATGGCTGGCACCACCTGGTTCTACGTCCATGGCTGAGATCATCAGTTTTGATAATCTCAGCTAATTAAATGTTTTCCCATAGGAAAGCATTGCGAGGCTATAGCGCATGCAAGTTAAAACGCCATCCTGCACCAATCAGCATGTCCTTATAGAGCTGCATTGAATAAATGCATCTCTGTGGGGAACATTCAACACCTCCATGCAGAGCTTTAAGACAATGAACATAGTTGCTGCACATTGTGCAGCACTGACCCGGGAAACACCTCTAGTGGTCATCTGTGTGACTGCCACTAGAGGTCTCACTAGGAAGCAATGTAAACATTGCCTTTTCTCTTAACCCCTTAAGGACACATGACATGTGTGACATGTCATGATTCCCTTTTATTCCAGAAGTTTGGTCCTTAAGGGGTTAAATGGCAGCGTTTACATTGAAAAGCCTGCAGGGACAGGCTGTTGACACCACAACCACCACATTAAGCTGTAGTGGTTCTGGTGACTATAGTGCCTGTTTAAATTACCATCAATTCTCACCTTAGGGAATAACCCTGCAAATCCCACATGGTAATGCTATATACGGTTTGTTTAATCACATGTGCCCCTCAGTACACCTTATGTTAGATATATTGCTCTTTACCTTGGGAGTAATATCTGCTCTACTTCCTCCTCACCTTGTTTATCATCATAGAAACTTGTTTGATTGGCTTAGTTCTGCTCTGCAGAATATGCTGACTCTCATTAAATATGAAATAAATAATAATACACAAATCTCGTGCATTAAGAATAACGCATCGAGCCCACCAGAAATTTCAAAAAATCATTTAAATTAATCCAATAAACACAAGTCTGTAAAATTAATGCAAAATAAACAAAACATTGTGGGGCGCTGCGCCAAAGATAAGGCGTTTATTCACAGCGTGTAGAGAACGAACCCTTAAATGTTGGTCGTTTGTCAGGGTTTCATACTAAACTGAATTGCCACGAATTTTAATTGAATTTCAAAATGTTAAACCCACGTAGCCGAACTTCCAGTTTGCCATTTTGTGTCTCTAAATTTGAAATTCTCACTGCACTACCTCTGTGCGGTGGGGACTGCTAGGCGTCCAAAGCCAGTTAATAAAAATAAATTCAATGTATTTTCTGATGTCGCTAAATTTCTTCGAGTCTCCCCAGTGTTTAAAGGGGTCTCCATAGACATCATATCAACACATTAATAATGGGGAGATTTAGGGGCCTGATAAATATGAGGTGCCTGCTTCAAGAATTGGGGACCCACTGTACCAACACAGGAACCCTATTTCTAGGGGTTAATAATCACTGCTTTCATGAGTTCCCAAATATTGAGACCAAATATATAATCTGTCTTGCCTAGTATAGTTTATCACTGGTCGCCAGGCAGTGTCCCCCCTAAGTTCATTGCTCTGCAAAGTTGGTCTCCAGGCAATGAGCCTATTCAAATTCTGACTTGCCTGGGATAGCATTTCACACGGTGATCTCTAGGTTTTTCTTATTTTGTTAGCTTGTTGTTGTCGCCTTTGGGGGGTTTATTTCACAGTTCTCTGTACTATTAAGGGGGAGAGGGAAGGTGGGAGCTATGAAAAACCACATTCTGACTTGCCTTGTATAGTATATGACTCAGTGCTCTGTCGATTTTGTTTGTTTTTTTCTTTTTGTTAATTTGTTGTTGTTGTCGTCTTTGGGGGGTTTATTTCACAGTTCTCTGTACATGTTAGGTGGCGTGAGGTGGGGGCTATGATAACCCAAACTCTGACTTGCCTTGTATAGTGTATCACTCAGTTCTCTGTAGGTTTTAGGGGTCCCCAGGCAATAAGACCCCCAAATACTCAACCCTTACAGTAAAGTTACATTGAGAGCAGCTCTGTCACACCAACAAATGTGAGCATTTCATAAGGATAAAGTCTTTAAAACCCACATAATGAGTCTGCTCCAGGAATGCACCCAGAGCCAGGAACACAGTGAGTACAGGCAGGGGGGAGAGGGGGCAGCCATGCACCAAACCAACAAATTATTAACCATGTGTGAGCTGGGAGGCAGCAGAACCTCCTCCAACCTCTCTCAAAGTAAATGCTTTAAGGCGATAGGAAACCCAACCCCGTGTTACATCCTTCATCTCCACCTCCCTCCCAGGGCCAAGCTAAAGGAGCAGATAGTGAAAGCTACCACTCACACCAGACCTGGGCTGGCGGGTTGGATCCTGAATCATCTACTAAACAGCACTGATTGCCCAGCACTGCAAGGGTTACCTGGTCTGGAGTCTGGATTATCTAATAAACAGCACTGATTGCCCAGCACTGAAAGGGTTAACCACTACACCTGGTCTGGAGTCTGAATGATCTATTATACAGAACTGATTGCCCAGGACTGCAAGGGTTAACCACTACACCTGGTCTGGAGTCTGGATTATCTACTAAACAGCACTGATTGACCAGCACTACAAGGGTTAACCCTCTCCTGCCGGAGGACCATGCTACCTCTGAACCTGCTATAATACAGGACTGCCCTGTGAGTACATGTTAACCATTTCCTCCTCTGCTAACCTCCAGTTACGTTATTTCACCTTAATATGCTTTGTTTGCCTAATATGCTTATTGTAACACATGCTGTAAGTTTATCCATTGGCTTATTTTAACCCTTACAGCATCAGAGTTGCACGTCCTTGTTAACTCTTACACTCACTGCTGAACGACAGACTCTCCATCCCTCTCAGAATCAGTGTGGTGTGTAAGGAGTTAAATACATTTTAAAACCTGTTACACTCTGCCCAGATATCTCCTACACAATTGTATCCTTCACGTCCTATCTACCCTCTGACTTTAAGAAAAATAAATACACTGTATTTCAACATATTTTCAGTTGTGTATATATTTCACTACACATTATGCTAGCATCACATTTAAAGGGTGTGTGTACCATCATGAGATGGTAAAATAATGTTTAGTAAAATATACACAATTGAAATGTGTTGAAATATATAGTGTATAATAAATACACAGGGCACATATAATACAGTGTGATATATATACACACAGTATGTTAATATATATTACTGTTTCTTATATTTATCTCCTAAAGGCACAAGCTCTGGTGGTTGTTTGTTCTGTTGTAAAGTACTTTTCAATACTCTGAGTGTAGACATTTATTTATATTTTTTGTAATAATAGCATGACTAAAGCATCTCGTCAGAAAGACTGTACATAAAGAGATCACACAATATTGTCACTGTGACTTCAAAGGGCTTTACAGCACAGACTGACAATAGGAACACAATAGGTACTGCGTTTAATGTTGTTTGCATTGTTGATTTAAACAGTTGAAGACATGTTGTTTTTTTAAAATACATATATATTACACATACATTATACACACACACACACACACACACTCTAATCAACTTTGGTCTGACATTGGAAATTCCATGTGGAAAACCAGTCAGAAAATTCCTTTAATTTGCTTCAAAATTTGACCATTTTAGCCTACATTTTGATTAAAAAATGTTCAGGCCACCATAAATAAATTGCGCAAAGCTTACTGCATCCAATGCACCATAGGTTGTTGATAAAAGAGGGATAATTGCCCCATTTGCCACCATTAATTCTACATCCTCTTTATTGCCATCCTATGAGAGTCGTTTACATTTCATAAATCAGTTTTGGTAGAATGCATCTAACCTGTGACCTCACAAAGCACATTTATAGGAAGCGATTAGACCTAATGAATATATCCTGCAATAAATGATGCACAATATTATGTTCAATAGAAATGATCATTTGGTCTTAGTCCCTAACTTGGCTCTCCAGGGTCTGTTAATGAAATAGTTGGGCATTCAGAGGGAATTTTAAATTTTAGGCTGATACAGACAAACTAAAAACAGAGCAGAGATTATCTCCAGTTTGGATAATATGTCCTAAAAATTCACTTTGAATTCCTGACAATTCACATTTTAGGAAATTTCCCTTAATGAGTTGTAGTCATTTGGAAGATATAGTCTGAAATAGATTAACTAAAAAAAAAATTCCACTTATATTAAACTGTAGCTTATTTTCTTCAAAACCTGCATTATCCGCCTCAGTTTTTCAGATCATGACATATGCATATAAGTCCCCCCAAGTGTCCAGTTAAAATTTACAAATTTAGAGTTTTTGATTGTAATAACTTTAATTTCGCCAGTATGTGGCCCGTAGCCATTATCAGCCATGTTTGAGATTTACCTGGAATAAATGTACATGGCGGTTAGTTTGGGGTCCATTCTTCAATGGTAACATTATCTCAGTGACTCATTCTTCAAATGTAATATTATATAATAAAAGAATCTTGCAGAACATGTACATTAGTGTCACGAGAGTCTCCATTGGGACAATAGAACTGCTGAAGTAACCAATTTATTGCGGGGTGGCTGTCTGGGGTTCAAAACATAGGATTTACCTTTTCACACATATAAAAGGTGTTAGGTGGACATATAATTTTGGGTCCCAAATTAAGGCTTAGGCCTGGTCACGGTTTAACATGGTTTTACGTAAAGTTATAATTTGATGGTCCTTGTTCTAGTACAGCTCTATATCTGTTTTTACAGGATTTCCAAAGAGCAATCCGAAGAAAAAGCAGATATTTTACTAAAATATTGGCAGGTATAGCGGGCTATTTGCTCTAAAAGTTTAGAAATTCCTGCTTAAGAAACAATTGTTGGGAATCATTATTATATGTTTTTATAGAATTCTCTAGTTGTGTAGATATTTCACTTTGTGAATGCCAAATTGCCAAATTTAGGTCAAATGTGGCAAGCTGTGACTAAACTGGCCAGCTTGTATGTTAGATAGTCTGTTACGGCTGCTAGTGTGGTCCTATACGCAGAAACTATGTAAACATATACATAAAAAAGGAAAGGAAATAAAAGGACAGAGCGTAAACCGGACCTTAGAATGGCCGGACTAATACGCTAGAGATAGAGAATGGTCAAAGGGAAAGCCGAGGGCAAGGAAGCCAGAAATACTCAGATACCGTTTAAACAAGCCAAGTCAGGGGAACCAGAATTCGGAATAACCAGGGAAAAACCAAGATCAGGATACCAGGAAGTAATATTCAGATAAGATAAACGCACTCTCGGGAACCAGGAACAGGAAACCACGACAGGGCAAGGAACTGGAGTGAATTAGGGATTTAAATATCCCTCTCTGGGCTCTGATTGGTGCGCGTGTGTTGAAGTCGTGACGTCACGCGCACGTCCGTATAAATTTGAGCTTGTGGTGTGCGCGACCACGTGGTCAGCGCCATCTTTGATTTGGGCGCAACGCCCAGAAGATGAGGAGGAACGGTTCCCGGCTTGCCGGCGAGCAGGTAAGCTCGCAATATCGGCGAGGTCGTGCTGGTCGGGCACGGCTGCAGCGGGCCGGGAGCCGCAACACTAACCTTCTGCGGTTTTTACTTCAGTGGAATCCTCTCTGGTTTAAACTAAATTCTTCAGAATGTTATCAGGAAAGCGAGAACTTTTAGCACAGTTGTACAAGAAGGATTTGAATAGAGTTCTATTAATTACATCTTAAGTGGAAACTCTTCCAGAGAGTTCTTTGTTCCCCCAGTTCTGTAAACGCCGCTGTATGTTTTTTGGTTTTCTCTCAGCAAATCGTGAAATTTAGGCTGAACTAGTCCAGCTGTAACGATGGCTAAGTATTTATTTTCCAAATTCACAAATTTTTGGCCGACATTTTGCCATTTGGTTTTTGTGTGTTCCACACTGTGCTGTTTAAAGAACAAACCTTGTATTATTTTGTTTGCTGGGTACAGTGAAGGTAGTGTTTTACAAACTTACCAACTCTTCAGTACCTTCTGGTGAAGGAGACATAGTCATTAATTTTGCTCTGGGCATGTTTACATAGTCCGTTATCTGCCAAGAAAGGGCTGATAAGCTCATACGCATTCGGACATTCCTTTCATACCGCCATACACATGCGTGTGCCCGTATTAGCTCCTGGATTTTAAATTTTATATTAAAAAATAAATTAGTTAGCCTTTGTACACTGAACATTTTAGAAATTCGAAGACTATTTTAAAATCGCATTGTTTTTGATTTTAGATGTTATTACTTTGAATTTAAAAATTATTTTGAATTCCTACTTTTGTAAATAACCCTAGGCTTGACCCGCCCACCCCTCCCCACCATGTCAATCGACTGTCATACGAGAATGTTAATTTTATTTATTTATTTTTAATCTACCCCAAAAGTGCTAAGCATTTTGCAGTTCCAAACAATACAACTGTTCATGTTTATGGTGATCAGTGGATACTAACATAAATCCTTGTGAAAACTGTAAATTATTCTAGATTAACAGATGTCACCTAGGAGCAAGAGCATACTCTTGGCTTTGCTTTGCCAGTCAGCAACACACCTGCTGGGAAGATTAAAGCATTAAATGGCTGTAGGGAACTCAGGAGTACACTGCAGGGTCTCAACGGGGAAGGTTATTAACCAAAAAGAATTGTAGACAATTTACAAGGAAATTGCAGGGATTTGGCCAATATTACAGAATTGGAAAAATTATCCGTCTGAGCTATTTTCCCAATTCTACTGTATTGGACAAAAAGTTGCAGTTATCTTGTCAATTTGACAAATTTCCCGGCTCAGAATAACTCTCAGCAATAAGAAAAATCTATGATTCGCTGCCAGCAATGTACTTCGAAAGCTGAGCCAGAATGACTTTACTTACAAAGAAGAACCTTGTGTTGCAAAGTACAAAAGGCCATTTTATTGTAGGTATACCCTTGGCAGATGCCTGGGTTAGATACGGTTGTTAAATTATTAAGATCAGGGCACACTCCTTTTTATCTTTTATTACTCCATTGTAAAAGTCACACTTTTCAGCTGAGATATAGGAAACTGTACATGCTGAAAGTCCTTGAGTGAGATTATGTTATCACAGGTAACCGAATGGGGTGAATTCACTAAGCACCGAATTGTAGTGAATTAAATACAATATTTTGGCTAAAATAGCTAAGTTACAGAATATTTCCAGATCAACGTTTTTTGTCCACATTTTGCAGTTTTGTTTCTTGCTCACTAAAATTTGATGTTTTATTGAGTAAACCATCTTGTGTTTAAAAATCTATAAAAATCCCAGTTCAAATAATCCCATTGGTTTCAAGTAATATGTGGACATGGACGCAGCCATATGATTTATAAGTACCACTTCATCCTGTTTTGCAAAGATTTTATTTTAAATGCGGCGTTAGGAAATGGTGGTTTTGGCGTCTGTTGCATATTCTATATTTGTTTATGTAGTTAGCTCAAATGGAAAATGAAAAGCCAAAATATCTGTAATGGAAGCTTAGTTGGAAATGTTGCAGCTTTTTTAAAAACATTTTTTTACCTTTTACAGTTTTTGCTTTGCCGCAAATCAAAATGTACATTTCATTCAGTAAAGGTCGAATCCTAGTGATTGGAATATGGAGGACAAGAATTAGATGATCTAGAACAATTCTCCAACTTGGATCCAATTACAACTCGGCTATTGTAG